CGCCGTCAGGTACAGCTCCACCAGGCGCGTGGCGAAGGAGGCCAGGACCATGCCCGCCGAGGCCAGCAGCCCACCCGCTAGCATCACCGGGCGGCAGCCGAAGCGGGTCACCAGGATGCTGGACACCGGGCCTGTGGGCGGGGCGGGGTCACCACCGGTCCTGGGCCACTCGCGTCGCCGGGGGACACGCCCCGGGCCTTGCGCCTCCCAGCCCTGGCCGACCGCCTCGAAGGGACGTCTCTGGTTCGGGGCCGGAGAGGGCAGGGTCTGGCCCAGGTCACACAGCCCGGCCGGACCGACCAAGGAGAGAGTGGCCTGCGGGAGGTTGGGGGGGCGTGTTCTGACTCTGAGTCTCCCCTTCCCACCCGTCTTGGGAACCCAAGGCCAAGGGAGGCTTCCACTCCCTTTTCACCTTCACAGCGTCCACCTGGCACAGCCTGGAATCCCTCCCCATCTCCCTGGCACGGGCTGCGGGCGGGGAGTGTGTCTTTAGATGTCATTTTCCCCTGCTGATGTGGGTCTGTTGGCAGGAATGGAGAGGCCCTGCGGCTGGCCCAGCCACCTGGGCCAGGCTCCACCCCTGGCCGTGGCCCCTTTTCCAGAGGAGGGAAGGGGTTTCCGGGGCCTCCCCAGGGCCTGCTGGCCTCTCAGGGGGGTGGGTGACTCCTGGTTGCAGCTCCTGAGGGCCCCGGGGAGGTAGAGGGCCGGAGAGGGCACTGACCCGTGCCGTAGAGCATGGCCAGCATGATGGAGGACACCCAGGCTGTGTCGCTGTAACCGGCGCCAAAGTCACGCATGAGCGCTCGGAAGAAGACGCTCACGGCCTTGGGGAAGCCGTAGGCGAAGCCGGTGACCACGAAGCAGGCGGCCAGCACCACCCAGCCCCAGCCACCATCTGGGGGGCCCTCGCCCCGTCGGGGGCCTCCTGCGCCCATTGCCACCGTCTCTGCTGGGAAGGAGACAAGTGGGAATGGCTCAATCTGTAGCCCAGATAAGGAGGTAGATGGAGACGTGCATGGGGAAACTGAGGCATGAGGCTACCCATGTGAGCCCGGCTCAGGTCAGAGCCAAAAGCAGAAACTGAAGTAGGCTCACCCAAGTCTCCCCCTCCTAGAAGTGGCGGTGAAGGGTGAGGGGAGGATCATGGGGAGTCCCACCTGAGATTGACTTCAGGAAGCCTTCCAATGGAGGGCACTGCTCGCCCCTCAGGACCTAGCAGAGGTGCCGGGGACTGGAAAGCGGGCAGCCAGTGTGTGCCTGGAGCTGCAGTCAGGCGCCAATGTCCCCCTGTATGTATGAGTGTCTTGGGACAAACACCAGGGGGACAGATGCCAGCTGCCAAAGGGCCTGTGTGCGTGGGGCTTGTCCTCCTTGGCCTTGCCGTGTGTTCCTAATTGTCCTCCATGATCAGGAATGACTTGTCATCAAAGGGGGGAACAAAACCACAGTCACCAGAGCATCAGCCAGCGAAGCCGAGATCTGATTCCTCCATGGGTCCGCTCCCTGGCTTGGGTGGGCAGAGCCTGCTTCCTCACCTGTAAGATGGGTCACCCCCAGGCCAGCTGGGAGCCTTGGGAAAGAGGAGTCGGGGCGATGCCTCCAGCCAGACAGGTGGAGACCTTAGGATACGAGAGAGAACTTCCACCTTCCAAGTCCCTAGCAGGTCCCTGCCCCTGCATTGCAGAGAAGGGCCTCAAAGGGCTCTCGTCCCTGGACCTCCACCCAGGGGTTCTCACTGCAGCCTGGGAGCCATGAGAGGCGAGGAGGGTGTGCCCCAGAGACACAATGACCATTTCAGAGCTGGGGCAGGAGCCAGGGCTCCAGGGAGAACCCCCTTCCCTCCCGCAGCCCCTCTGTTCCTGGGAAGTCCCTCCTCGCACTGGACAATGCCAAGACCCCCTCCCCTGGGGGTCTCCGGGACTCTGCCCTCCTCCGCCAGGACCAGGCTGGGCTTCTGCCTGTCATCTGCAGGCATTGAGGATGAGGACAAGAGAATGGGCCCAGGTAGCCCTCACCCCACACTCACCTGAGCCTGCCTCGGGGGTTTGGGTGTCCAGCCTCACATCTCGGGAGGCCCACAGGGAGGGGCCGCCGCCACAGCTCCCCTGAAGCGTCCCCTGATGGGGGCTCCCAGATGCCGAGCTTCCCACCAGCCTCCCGATCAGCCGCCCGCCGACTCCCGCCTGATGCACCCTCCCCCAGGCTTGGGGCTTAGAGTGTTTTACCCCACTTACCCCCACCCCGCTAAGAGGCTTTCATCCAGGAGGGGAGCCCAAGGCCAGGCTGGGCCTCCACGCGGGGCTCCCTGTCCCATGTTGCCCAGAAGGGAGGGGGAGCGCCCCCAGCGCCCAGACCTCTGCAGAGGGCACATGGGTCCTGCCCAGGGGTCCTAGGCTGGTGCTGGGGGCACGGCCCAACCCTGGAGAGACCCCAGCACCCCTAATCACCTCAGCTCATCCCCCACCCCAGCTGCATTCCAGGAGGGGCTCGTGGCTTTCCCTGGGTATGGCTAATCCGGGCCTGAGAGCCTGGGAATGTGGGGGCGGAGGGGCCAGAACAAAGGGTGCTGTGTCCCAGGCCGCCTGAGGGTGACTTGCTGGTGGTCCCAGCCCTCCCCTTGCTCACAGAAGCCAGCACTTCCTGGGGAACCCATGACAGAGGTGAGACAAGGGTGGAGGGGGGTACACAGGCCTGAGGGCTTTGGGGCAGCCCTAAGAGTTGCTACTGGGAGTGAGACTCCTCGCAGGGAACAACCATGGCCTTCAGCGCTCCTTGGACTCCATTCTCAGGGGGGTCCTCCCTCCCCACCCCCTGCCCTGTCCCCCAAATCAGATGCCACCATTCCTGCTGCCGATCCATGTCCTTTATTCTTGTCGTTTACAAAAGTTGTACCATGTGCGGGGCGGGGGCTGGTACAAGGACTCCCCCCACTGGGGAAGGGAAGGGGAAGAGGTCCGGGGCGAGAGGAGGCCCCCAGGGACAGTCCTGGGGCCCCTGTTCCCCAGTTCCACCAGTTTTTTTTGAAGGCCCCAGGCCCCAGGCCAGTATCCTTGGAGCTGCTCGGGCTGGGAGTGGTTGAGGGAGGGGCAGCCCCCCGGGGGGCTCAGGGCTGGCTTCTCAGCTCATCTTCATTCTCATCTTTTGCTGCTGCTGCTGCTGCTGCTGCTGCCGCCGCCACTGCTGCCGCCAGCTCTGCGCAGCCCAGGCAGGTGTGCAGGGGTGCGACCTCAGACCTCGAACGGAGGACGGCGCCTCAGCGGATGAGGGGTGCTGAGCGATCGTTGGTGATGGTGGGACGCAGCTTTACGGTGGCAAAGGGATTCGTGCCCCTGCAGGGGGAGAAGCCAGGCGAGTGGGCCCAGATTCCCACCGGGCTGTGGGCCCAGGAAGGCAGCTGGCAGCTGAGGCCCGTGTCCACCTCCTGCCTCCTGCCCCCACTGGGGCTCCGCCCATTCAGCAGCAGGGCTTGTCCCCGCCTCGGCTTCAGTTTTTTTGGTTTTTCCATGGGGGGTTCTCTATGTTTGTTGCCCAGGCTGGTCTGGAACTCCTGGGCTCGAGGGATCCTCTTACCTCCTCCCCACAAAGCGCTGAAATTACAGGCGTGAGCCACTGTGCCCCTTGCCCCTATCATCTAACCCCGCATGGGGACTCACCGAGGGAAGAGCTCTGGTGGGTGCTGCTCCCAGGACATAAGTTTCTGCGGTGGAGGAGAGGGCCGGTTTGATGGGCAGAGGGGCAAGCAAGCTCCTGCGCCTCCCCTCCCTCTCCCCAGCCCCAGAGGGCAGAGGACTGGACCACAGACCCCTGCCATGCCAAATCCCTGGGAAATGAGACGCTGGCCTTCTGAAGCCAGAATTCTGTGGATTTCAGACTTGAGAGACCTCAGGGCCAGAGCACCGCCTTCTAGGACTAATCACACCCAGGAAAGATCGGGGTGCCCCATGGGGAGGTGCCCTCCCTGCCCCACCCTGACCTGCCCACCAGCCCCAACAGGTGCTCTGACCCAGGACCCTGGTCTTCCTCCCCTGGGAAGGGGCAGGGGAGCCTTGGCCAGTGTCCCCAGCAGGACATCTGGGGCTGCAGTCCCTGGGATGAAAGCTTCCCCCCTTCACCCCAGACTCAGACCCCCCCCCACAGAGACTGGGTGGGAAGGTCCCCTGCTAGACAGCCAGTGACAGAGCGGGGGGTTCCTGGCCTTCTGCCTCCCCAGACCCTGGGAGACCTGGCAGGGGCTTACCTTGACGTCGCTGGCCACCCCCGTGCTGCCCATGCTGCTGCGGCGGCTGCTGGGCAAGGGGGCGGGTACTGGGCTGGGGGCACGGCTGGGCACCCGGCTCGGGGTGCGTGAGCGGGCCTGGCCATCCCAGTACTCTGAGGGCGCTGTGGAGTTGCCTGGCCGGTCCAGGAGGTCATCGAGGCTGTGGCTGCCCCGGAGTGGGTAGGACCTGAGTCCAGGGAGAGGAGGGGGGGGATGAGGGTCGGGCCAGGCCCAGCTGCTGGGCTCCTGGGCCTCCTTCCAGCCCTGGGGTGCAAGGAGACTATCCGCTTGAGGGAGGCCCCGCGAGGAGGCAGGGGAATGGACACAATGACCTTCGGTGTAGAGATGGAGCCCCCGGGGCTGAAGGGGCCTGGGCTCAAGACGGCACCTCACAGGTGCCTCCCTCGGTGGGCAGCGACACCCCACGGGGCCCTGGCCCCCGCCCCACCCTGCCTACTCAGGTACCTGGAAGGCAGCTCATTCACGGGGTTCATGGAGGTCACAGGGCTCAAGGGGGTCATGGGATTCACGGGCACCTCCTCCAAGGGCTTCACATAGGCCTCAGGGAACCAGCCGCCCCTGCAGGGTGGAAGCAGAGGGTCCTTCAAGCAAGGCCCAATGACAGCGATCAAGAGCACCGCTGGTTACCGCGCTGCTGTGTGCCAGGCCTTGCTGAGGGCTTCGGGGACAGTGACTGGGTCAACCCCAGGAAGGAGGTCTCTCCTGGCACTCGAGGACTTACAGAGTGCTCACAGAGTCCTTAGCCCATCCATCTAAGTCCATAACCCACCAGGGGCCGGGGCACCTTAGGGAGGAGCCGGAGGCTTCATTCCCTGCTCATTGAGCACACAAGAGCTGGGCACACAGGTAGCAGGATACGGTCCCTCCTCTCAGGAAGCTCCCAGCCTGGAGGAGACGGACCCGCAAGCAGATGATTTTGAGGCAGTGCACTCAGGTGTTGACAAAGGGCACAAGGACGGGTTGGAGGGGCCACAGGCCACGGTAGGAGCCAGAGGAAGGGGCTCCCAAATTCAGGGTGCGGGACCCCAAATCCAGTGCTCTCTCCAGCTTGGCCCAGCCACCTCTCTTCACCCCAGGCTGTCTGGTCCCGGATGGCCCCCTCCCCCAGAGCACCCAGTCTGCACCCCAGCACCCAAGCCGCTCTTGGAGTCAAGGCTCGTGGTGGCACCTTTAGAGCAGCTGGGGTGGCAGGGAAAGGCACTGTGATCACTGGCTCACCCCCTCCTCCCCTCCCTCTTCAGACTCCATAGAACACCCTAGAAACGTCCTCGCAGGGGCCACCTTGGACCCAAGTCTACTGGAAGCCCCTTTGCCTCTAATTGACAATAGAATCACTCCCATGAGCTTGCCTGCTTCACCATCAAGTGTCTACTGGTGGCAAAACATGCCACCAGGCTCCCTAACCCCTGAGTCACAGAATGAAGAACCAGGTATGAGCCCTGACCCAGGTTTTATCATCGGGGCTAAACCCCATCTGTCCTGAGCCTGCAAGGCGGACACTCCAGGGGGCTCCAGCTGCTCACGCCCTCAGTCACCTTGTCCCCTGACCCCCTGCCGTTCCTGGCCCTGTGGCTGCCTGCCCAGCCATGGACCTCTGTGCCCCGGGGTACACCCCCCACGCATCCCCGGTGCTCCCTGTCTGCCATCCATGTGGGTTGCCCTCCCGGTGTGTCCCTCCCCTCTTTAATCACCCACCCAGCCGCCTTATCTCACATCCCGGTATCCTCCTTGCCCCGCCCACCCACCTGTGTGTGTCTCCCCATCCGCAAGCACAGACGTGCACCCACCTGCCCAACACCTGCCCCTCGTCCACGAAGCCCAGCGCCACCCGGCCACCCGCAGGCTTCGCCTGCACTTCTGTCTACCTGGCCCCTCGTTCTCCTCGGCTCTCTCCTGCAGCACGGAAAGGCATGGGCACCACGGGTCGCCCTGCCCAGAAAGCGCTGTGGGGGCACGGCCTGGCGTGGCCCTGTCCCACCAGCTCCCGCCCGTTCACCTGCGGGACAGTGGTCTCCAATACCACCCTCTCTTGGCTGACAGCCCTGCCCTCGCCCAGGCTTTTCGGCCAGCATGCGCTGCCCCTCTCTCTACCCCAGAGGGGCACAGCCCAGGGAAGCTCCCCAAGGACCCTGCTCCTGTGTGCTCCAGGCTCCCCTCCTTCGGGGTCCCACCACAGCAGGTGCGCGGCGTGGCACCACTTTTGGGAGAGCCTGCCCACCCTTGCCCTCTACCCACCCCCAAAGGGCCACCCTGAACTCGGTGAGGGGGCTCTTCCTAGCCCACTGAAGGGATGAGGAAACAGACAGGTGTGGAGGGTGGGTGGAGAGTCGTCTCAAGCCCCAGGAGAGGCCCGCGAGGTCTCAGTGGGAGGACAGCCCCGCCCCGCACCCCAAGGCTCCCACTCACGTGGACGAGCCCTCCAGCTTGCCGTAGAGCCAGCCGTTCTGGGCCTCGGGCACCAGCACCTCCACCACGTCTCCGGCCGAGAAGCGCAGCAGCGTGT